TTACCAATGGGGTTGATACAGACGGGGGTGCACACGCCCGCCATTTGCCTTGCAGCCAATGGGGTCCCTCATGGCGAGCCGCCTGGTAGTTTCTCGGCCCATCTCTAACTCCTCGCGACAGGTCGGGTCAAGCTGCCAAGCCACGACTTCCTTGGTCGTCCCACGGGCCCGCGAACAGGCAACCTACCAATCCCCGATGAACCCAAGCAGGTGCCCTATAACTCGCGCTGGCGGCCTCGGGCCGTGCAAGTAACAGGTCCTCCGCCGGTCTTACGTCTACCTTACGAACTGAAAGCACAGCTCACCTCGTCGCTGAAAGACGAACGCAGGTACTCCTCCGCCTCCAGAAGCTCCGATTCCGACTCGCTCTGCAGGGAGACTCGCGTGCGGTAATACCTGTTGTTCACTTCGGGGTACGAGCCCACCGTCACCGCCGGGCTGTGGCTCACCAGGTCGTTCAGCTTCCCTGGTAACACGGGAAGAGGAGGAGGAGAGAAGGAGAGAAGGATTCAGCTGAGAAAAAGGGGGGACACGCGCACACATGAATGTAGTCACGTTTCGAATTGTTTCGAATATCCGCTTGATACCACTTTCTGTAAGACGGATTCGAAGCTCCAGTTCACGAAAAGACTTGACCGTCACTGTACATATATACTTCCATACATACATGTATATACTTATTTATCTTCCATGAATCTATGCTGTATAAATGTATCTCTGTAAATGTCTATACATCTGTTTATCTTTATCTACCTTTCTCTATCAAATTATCTATTTACCTACCTATCAATTTTTCTATCTACCAATCTATTGATCAATCTATCTACCTATCTATCAACAATGATCTTTCTATCTCTCAGTCAATCAACCAACCAACCTATTAAGCAACCTATTAATTAATTGTGTATAAATCTATCTATATATGACTCTCTCTGTCTGCCTGTCTCTCTCTCCTCTATCTCTCTCTCTCATTCTTACTCGTTCACTCGCTCTTTCGCGTTCTCTTTTTCGCTCTCTCTCTCTCTCTCTCTCTTAGTCTACCAATCCACCAACTTACCATTTCCTCAATCTATCTATTATTATTATTATTATTATATTAAGCTATATAATGAGCCACACTGAAAAAATCGAGATTTATACCACCAAAGGTGTCAGTGCAGGTCAAGATACAGCTAAGAAAGAATGAATAAAAGAAAGTCAGCTAATTACATAAGAAAAACATGTTAGCTGACGTTTTAAATTTATCGAGTCGAAGAAGTTACAATCTCTGAAGGCAATCTATTCCAAAGTCTACAATTAGCAGTAAAAAAGCATATACAAAACTGACTTGTAGACGATCGACTTACATCAAATGTCATTGAATTGAGTCATAGAACTTCTGGTAATTCTTGCAGGTTGATAAAAATCAGGTAAAAACTTATAGAGGGGATGTGAATTATCGGTTACAATCTTGTATAAAACTGAAAGAGCCCCAATAACTCTACAATGTCCAATGTCCAAATTTAAGTCAGACAGGAGAAATTTGATAAAATTAAAAGAACGATCAAGCAGTCTTAAGTGTGAGTCTGCAGCAGATAACCACAAAGAAGAACAATACTCAAAATGAGGCAGAATAAAAGAAAAGAAGCACCTACGTGTAATGTTTTCATCTTCATAGATTTTCTTGCACTTGCGAATGATGCCTATCTTTGATGAAACTGCCCGGGCCATATTCCTAATATGCAATTCAAATGTAAGCTTTGAATCAAAGGTTACACATAAGAGCTTCAAGTTATCCACCGAAGTGATTAAGACTCCATTAATCAGCAGACTTGGATCCTGAGGCAACTGCGTTCGAGACCGACTCACAATCATTTCTTTAGACAGTAGGATTTAATTTCATGCCCCACCGAGAGCACCACGATTGAATCATCATCAGGTCTACAGTAAGACTGTCAGCTACTATTTGCCTAGTAGCCGGAGAAGGAATATCGGCATAGAGTGAAGTATCATCAGCATATGCTAACATTTAATTAGTAATGCCAGGCCACATGTCGCTTGTATATAAGATAAAGAGCAAAGGGCCAAGAACGCTACCCTGAGGAACCCCAGAAGATACATGAGAATACGAGGTAAAACTACCATCAACATGAACAAGCTGCTGCCTTCCAGTTAAAAATTCAGTTTACTTAAAACTTTACCACCTACACCAAAAGACTAACTTAAAAATTAAACCCTTGTGGTTAATAGTGTCAAAAGCTGCACTAAAATCCAGCGAGACAAGTCTTGACTCATGACCCTTATCTAAAGCAGACTGCATTTCATGCACCAACATAAGCAGTGCATCATTGCAGCCGAGTCCCTTTCTAAAACCAAACTGAGTCTCTGGAAGAAACGGTCTCAAATGTACAGAAAGACGTTTGACCAGCAAACGTTCAAAAATGGATAAAATTGGTGTAATTGAAATGGGTCTATATTCAGTAGGTGAAGACTGTAGTGGGCCCTTGGCCAACCTATCGAT